TAAGCCATACACCCATGTAAGCAGTACATCCATGTTTGATATATATCCATGTAAGGATGCATCCGTGTTAGATGTACATCCATGTAAGCCATACATCCATGCAAGTGGTGCATCCATGTAAAAAGTGCATCTATGTAAGCTCTACATCCATGTAAGGATTGCATCCATGTAAGCAGTACCTCCATGTAAGGATGCATCCACGTTAGATATACATCCATGTAAGGATTGCATCCATGTAAGCTGTACATCCATGTAAGGATGCACTTGTGTTAGATGCACATCCATGTAAGGATGCATCCATGTAAGCCGTGTTCCAGGGGCCATCTCCATGCTGACTGCTTCCCTCTCTCCCTGCCCTGGCAGCAGCTGAAGCTGGAGTGGAGCCTGAGCAGCCCCCTGGCTGCCAAATTCCCAGAGGAACGATCYGAGGGTGACATCTCCAGCCCAGCATCCACGGGCACCCAGGTACATCCCAGACCGTGGGACCCGTCCTCACATCCCCAGAGCCCCCCACTCCCAGCATCACTCCTACAGAGCACTCACCTGTCTGTGCTCGCCCAGGATCCTTTGCTGGGAATGCTGGATGTTCGGGAAGAGCTGGAGAAGGAGGATGGGAAACCCGAGTGYGAGGCTGTGTATGAGACCAACTGCTACTGGGATGGCTGTGCCAAGGAATTCGACACGCAGGAGCAGCTGGTGCACGTGAGTCGGGCACTGCCAGGGTGTTCCACCCCAAAACCTGCCCAAAAGGTGCTGGGCAGCATCCCCCTGGATTGATTCCTGCTCCCAGTTCCCAACCACCCATTCTGGGAACTCAGCATGATGCTGGAAGTTTTCTGGGATGTGAATCCTCCAGTTCTTCTCGACCACTGATGCTTCCAGACTCCCTCCTTTGCTCCAGCTTTCCTTTCCCCAACCCTCCCATATCCCTCTGATCATCCTTGGGATCGCTTTGACCTGCTCCTGGTCCTCCCAGAGTATCCCTCAAACATCCCCTGTATCCTCTGCCTCCTCTAAAAACCATCTGACCATTCTCCTTCAAATTCTGGTGTCTCCAATCCCTCTATGTCCCTTTTTCCCATCCCAGTCTGTCCGTGTCCCTTCCTCCCATCCCAATCCCATTTCTCCTATATCTCCCCATCCCTTGTCCCCCTCCCCAGTGCCACCAGTGACTCTCCCCTCCCTCCTCAGCACATCAACAACGAGCACATCCACGGGGAGAAGAAGGARTTCGTGTGCCACTGGGCAGCGTGTTCCCGGGAGCAGAGGCCCTTCAAGGCTCAGTACATGCTGGTGGTKCACATGCGGCGTCACACGGGCGAGAAACCTCACAAGTGCACGGTGAGATGCCAAAAAAATCCCTTCAAAAATGCTCAGTGAGATGGGAAAATGAGGGGGGACAGGGCAGAGGGTGATGAGAGGGGGCTCAGGGGTGAAATTCGGAGCCTGTGGGGTCTGTGGTGTGGCAGAGGGGGGTGGGCAGCAGGTGGGTACAGCCATGGAGATCATGGAATCGTGGAATTATTTTGGAAAGACCTTAAAGCTCATCCCGTTCCACCCCATCCCAAGGGACACCTTCCACTATCCCAGGGAGCTCCAAACCCCGTCCAACCTGGCCTTGGACACTTTTAGGGATGGGGCAGCCAMAGYTCCTCTGGGAAATATCCATTCCACCCTCACAKGGAGGAATTCCTTCCCAAAATCCCATCTAAACATTGCCCTAGTGCTTTTGGAACATTTTCCTGAAGTCAGGATGGGGAGCTGGGCGTTGCAGTCAATCAATCCTAATTTGGGTTTTCCCTGTGGGGACACTCTGAGGTGATGCCATGGGCAGGGACACCCCAAAGGTGGCACAAACCCGGGGTGAAGGGCTGTGCCACGGTGTGAGGGCACACCTGAGGAGGGCAGGGGTGTCACAAGGTGGGATGACACCCATGGTGACAGCGTGTGACGTGTCCCACCCCCCTCACCCGCAGTTTGAGGGTTGTAACAAGGCTTATTCCCGCCTGGAGAACCTCAAGACTCACCTGCGCTCTCACACGGGGGAGAAACCCTACGTGTGTGAGCACGAGGGGTGCAACAAAGCCTTCTCCAACGCCTCTGACCGCGCCAAGCACCAAAACCGCACCCACTCCAACGAGGTACGGCCCCACCCAGGGCACSCTGTGCTCTTCCACATTGCTCCTGTCCTCTGAGAACTCCCCCTATACCTTATTTTGTGCCCCAAATCCCTGTTTTCCTGCTCTAAATATCCCCTTGGTCACTGACATTCCCACTGGGATCACTTTACCCCATTCCTAGGTAAATTCCTACCCCAAACCCTCCTTCCTGAGCTCTCCCCATCACCCACCGTGCCCCGAGGAGGGATTCACCTGCTTTAATCCCACCCTCAGCTCTCTCCAGAGAAAGGGGCAGGGGTTCATTTTTGGGAAGGGGAGTTCACTTTTGGGGAGGGGGGTTTATTTTTGGGAAGGGGGGTTTAGTTTTGGGAAGGGATGTTCATTTTTGAGGAGGGGGCTGTCGTTGGAGCTGCCCCCCTCCTTCCTCCATGCCTGTTGATTTTCCTTCTCCAGACGGAAACGATGGGGGTTCATTTTTGGGAAGGGGTGTTTATTTTTGGGAACAAGGCTGCCGTTGGAGCTGACCCCCTCTTCCACACTGGTTTTTTGGGACAGAAGCCATACGTGTGCAAGATTCCTAGCTGCACCAAACGCTACACAAACCTCCCCCAGGGCTCCCTGCGCACTTCCAGGCTCTTCCACATCCCTGATTTTTACCCCTGTGTGCCCCAACTCCTTCTTTCCCTGCCTTAAATATCCCCTTGGTCACTGACATTCCCACTGGGATCCTTTTATCCCATTCCTGGGATCCTTTTACCCCATTCCTGGGTAAATTCCTACCCCAAACCCTCCTTCCTGAGCTCTCCCCATCACCCACCGTGCCCCGAGGAGGGACTCACCTGCTTTAATCCTACCCTCAGCTCTCTGCAGAGAAAGGGACAGGGGTTCATTTTTGGGGAGGGGGTTCACTTTTGGGAAGGGGGGTTCACTTTTAGGGACAGGGGTTCATTTTTGGGAAGGGGGCTGTCGTTGGAGCTGCCCCCCTCCCTCCTCCATGCCTGTTGCTTTTCCTTCTCCAGAGGGAAAGGACGGGGGTTCATTTTTGGGGAAGGGCGTTCATTTTTGGGAAGGGGGCTGTCTTTGGAGCTGACCCCCTCTTCCACACTGGTTTTTTGGGACAGAAGCCATACGTGTGCAAGATTCCTGGCTGCACCAAACGCTACACGGACCCCAGC